GTTATAAGTCCCTTAATTGGGATTATAAGTATAGTTAGCTTAGTTATAACCCTACTTACTAAGTCCCATGATCCTTTAAGTATCAATTATTAGCCTCTGTGGGTTGGGATTGCTTCCAGGGATTGACGGAATATAGGAGTTTCCGAAATTAGAGGTACCCTATTTTGGAGTCCTTATAATAAGGATCTTACTATTTAGGGTACTATATTGGGGTCCCCTATTTGCGGAAACTCCCATCTAGGATTCTGATCAGTTGTAGGCTACTTGATTGTTTGTCTGATAAGGACACTGTTCCCTTGAGCCCACATGGCACCCATCAAGGTGTTTGTGAATTGTGCTTCTTCTACATCAGGTGGCTTTGAAGGGGGCTTTGCAAGGGCTCTGGAAGGTATTTATAAGAGTGAGATCTCTCAGGTTTTATGCAGGATGTCGTATGTTTCGGGGTTGACTGCTAGAAATATTGCCAATGTATGTATAACTGGCAGAGATGCACCAAAGGAACGAAGACCTTCCGGCCACCCTACCTAAATTTTAGAGCTCTATGAGGGGTGAGAAAGAAGTTTGCAAGGCATTGGTCGCGGCGGTGATGATGATGATGATGAACATGACATTGATAGGGTGCTACACCCGGCTTTCAATTTGGGGATCCTTGGTTCAAAGGATCCACAAGGTTCAGGTTTAAGGGCATTCGGTATGAAGGGTCATAAATGGAGTGTCATCCTCTTTATACATGTTGGATTTTGTTGCGAAGAGTCCAGGTGTTAGCGCAAGTCAGAAGACTTAGCAAGCAAGGGGAGGGAGTTTCCCTTCAGAAGGCTGATAAGACACTAGCTCCAATCCAAATTCCTTCAAGAACTACGTGACTTAGGAAGTAGGGTGTTTCAAACGCAGTATCTACACTTGTGGAGGCTTCTTACCCTAACTGAGGTACCGAAAACAATACTTAGATCGCAAACCCACCGGGGAATTTAGAGGCAATTGTCGGTGGTGCCGTCGTGCTTTCAAGGGGGCTTCTTCACTAGAATCATCAGTGCCTAGAACTCCAGAATTGCAGGCTTATGGTGTCTTGGGGCTGTGGGTGTCTCAGAGTTTTGGGACTCACGGTTTCTTGTGCTATACGGTTCGGGAAGGGCTACTGCAGCGGATTGCAGAAGGGTTTGCGATTTTACATGTGGATTTTTGCGCTGGGCTGCAAGGAGTGCGATGTCTGTGCCAGCGTTTCACCAGATCACTAGATGTGTCGATTACTCTCCGAAACGCCCATCTCAGCTCAGGGCCTCCAGGAGCGCGCCCCAGATTCGCATCGCACCCCCGGATCCCCGGACATCCACCCCGATCGCAAGAATGTTGTGCGATGAAGCTTTGTTTTAGTTTGCTGTGTGTTCGGTTGCTTGGCCGGCTATGCTGAGCATCACACTGCTTTCCGGGGAAGAGCTGACGAGCCTTCCTCTCACGGAGCTGAGCGACGTGAAAGCCTTGAAGCAGCGACTGCATCAGGAGCACGGCCTGCCCCCACGATTCAGGCAGAGGCTTCTTCACGAAGGCAAGACTTTGGATGATGCCGTACAACTTGACACCGCGATGGATCTGCAGGTGGGTAGCTCTCTAAATTAGGGTCCCTTTTAGGGCCCTTGTTATAAGGGTGCCGTACTCCATTGGGGACCTAAAAAGGGACCCTAACTTAGAGAGCTACCCAGGTCGTGATCGTGGCATTCTCCGAGGTTTCGGAGGGGCAGCAAGAGCTACAGGAAGCTGCTGCCGATGGCCGCCTGGCCGAGGCAGGGGGCCCCGCACCGGAAGGTACTTAAAGGATCATGGGACTTAGTAAGTAGGGTTTCGGGTTTAGGGTTTAGGGTTCCGTAAGGGGTTTCGGGTTTAGGATCTATAAGGGTTACTATAAGGGTGGTTTAGGGGTACTTAAAGGATCATGGGACTTAGTAAGTAGGGTTATAACTAAGGTAACTATACTTATAACCCCAATTCAGGGGACTTATAACCTTACTTGCTAAGTCCCATGATCCTCCAACTAACCATGCAACCACATGTCCTACAAACCTCGCCTGTTCTGCTGCAAGCACAACTTTTTTATTCTAGGAGAGTCCAATCTGCAACGTGTTATGTTTCAACAACCTACATTAACCTACTTAGTTACCAAGCCTGGGAATCCTGTTTTTGTCGATCCTCACATGGAAGCAACCCACCCGTTTCAAGCTCTCAGGTTGAAGCTTTGCTGCAGCTTCCCATGGACCCGGATGCTGCAGAAGACGGCGATGGCAGGACGCCTCTGATGCTCGCGTCTAAGAGCGGCCACGTGGATGTCGCACGCTTGCTGCTGGAGGCCGGCGATCGGCCCGATGCACCACATGACCTTTTTAAGGGCAGTACAGCGCTGATAGATGCAGCAAGCGGAGGTCATGCTGAAGTCGTGGAGCTACTCCTGCAGGCCGGTGCTGAGAAGGACTTCAGGTCTCCGAGTGGCCGTACAGCACTGATGCATGCAGCATCGAGCGGTTCTGAACCAGTCGTGCGGGTGCTCCTTGACGCACGTGCTCAGATGGATTTCTGCGACATGCTCGGCAATACGGCCCTCATACTTGCGACGAAAAACTGTCACACTCCAATCGTGCGGTTGCTGCATGAGGCGGGCGCTGATAAGGATGTGCGTAACAAGCGCGGCCAGACAGCGCGGATTTTGGCAAAATCCCGGCTTTCACCCTTTGTGCCCTAAACCCTAAGCCCTAAACCCTATACCCCAGAAAAGGACTTGACTTCAGAAGAGGGTGCTCTGCAATCGAAGAACACTGCACTCCAGGACAGTGACGTTTCAGTTCCTAGCACGACGGTCGAAGCTCCAGGCTTCAGATGCTGACCCTAAGAAAGGTGCCTAAAGAATTACCTACTATACTTTTTTTTGGGAGGCTCATTCTTCTATGCATCGTATAATATACCCCCAAACCCTATTGTAATTATTAAGGCCCCGCGCATTAGGCATCAACCCGAGTGCTTCAAAACCCTTCCTCCATCGTGCTGTGAGGGAATATCCACGGAAGTTCCTGAAGCATCTCTCGACGATGTAATGTGCAGACTTTCACCTTCTACACTACACCTGTCGCCGGCAACGTAGTTGTGACCTTTGATCTCGAGTCTGGGTGATAAGGAAAGGCAACAAAGACAAAGAAAGAGCCATCATCATCAACGACAACAAGGCCCATTAATAATCAGCACCACCCCAAAGACTTGCATAAACCCTAAACCCCTAAGCCT